AGTGACTGTCCCAGGAAGCCCACTTTCATTGTTAGCCCTAGAGCCACCCCATGTGTTATTAACCATTCTCTTCAGTCTGAGTGGCTTCTCGCTGTGTAGTGTAAAATTTGTCTTGGGCAAAGTTGGGAGAGAATGTCTGTATCTTTGTAATAGAGAAGAAATTAAGGGGGGAAAAAACAGAAACCTATCTTTCAAGAAGGTAGCTTATCAAGGCTTTGGTACTATCTTATGGACATTTGTTCCATCACAACTGCGTGATTTCTCAGTGAATGGCTTACTACCGTTTCCCCGAAAATAAGAGTGTCATATTTTTTCTCCCGAAGTTGCGCTAGGTCTTATTTTCAGGGGATGTCTTATCTTTCCACGTGCTAGGTCTTATTTTCTGGGAAACATGGTAGTAAGCTTCAACCTTCAAAATGAGGATCCTCTGTCCATAATCCTGACAAGCTTTATTAATCTATAACTCATGTGAAGTGTGCAGCCCAGTAGCTTTTAGTGTTTGGAACGTCATCACCCCAAGCCCAGACCGTGCAGCTTACCCCAGTCCATCCATTGTCCTCTGCTGTCTCTAGACTTGCCTTGTCCAGTATTTCATAAGAAGGGACTCATGCAATTTGCTTTTTGCCTGGCTGCTTTCACGGCTCACCAGTGTGGTAGTGTGTGGCTGAATGTGGTCCTCAGGTTCACGGGCATGCCATCAATGGTCCGTTTACCAATTCTTGGGGACAACGTTGTTCCAGACATCAGTGTACACGTTTTTGAGTTGACTTTTCCATTCCCATTTGGTGTATACCTACCTGCCTACTGGAATTTTGGGAAAGTTGAATAGTAATTTAACTTTGTAAGGAATTGTCTCTTCCTCAAAGGGCAGTAACACCTTCTATTCCATCATCAGTGCATTAGGGTTCTGATATAACTGGACCTTTGTGCAATTCAAAACTCGTAATAAAGCTTTTTGCAATTTGTTAGGAACTATATAGCATTATGTGCTCAGAGAAAAATAACATGGGGAGTTTAATTGTCCCATCTCAAGATTTTGAGATGCAAATCAAAACAACAATGCGGTACCATCTCACACCTGTCAGAACGGCCAACATCAACAAATGAACAATCGACAAGTGTTGGCGAGGTTGCAGAGAAAAAGGAACCCTCATGCACTGCTGGTGGGAATGCAGACCGGTGCAACCACTGTGGAGAACAGTGTGGAGTTTCCTCAAAAAACTGAAAATGGAACTCCCATTTGACCCAGTAATCCCACTCCTATGATTATATCCCAAGAAACTAGAAACACAAATCAGAAAGGATATATGCACCCCTATGTTCATAGCAGCACAATCTACAATAGCCAGAATTTGGAAACAGACTAGTTGCCTGTCAGCAGATGATTGGATCAAAAAACTATGGTATATCTACACAATGGAATACTATGTTGCCATAAAAAAGGAATTCTCATCATTTGCAGCAACCTGGATGGAACTGGAGAACATCGTGCTGAGTGAAATAAGCCAATGAAAGAGAAGCACCACATGATCTCACTCATTTATGGATAATAACATTATAAACTGATGAACCAAAAGATAGATATAGACAGTAAAGCAATTAGCCGACCGTTAAATTACAGTGGGGAGGGTAGGGAGATCTGGAGGAGATAAGAGATCAACTGAAGGACTTGTATACATGCATATAAGTACAACCAATGGACACAAAACTCTGGGGAGGGAGGGTATGTATGGGGGGGGGCAATGTTAAAATATGTACACAGGTAATAATTTAATAAAGTGTAAAAGAAAAAAAGATTTTATTGTGTAAAATTTGTACGTAGTACATGAACTCAATGGATCTTCGTCCACACGCTCACTGTCCAGTGCCTGTTGGTCTGTGAACGGCACACCATTAGTGGCAGCGGGAGTCGCACCAGAGACAGGATCACTGTGCTGTGGGCCCAGTGCAGGTGCACACCAGGCTCCGCAGACCCTACAACGTGCAGCCTAGAGTGAGGCTGCTGGCTTAGCTCACTTGCCTATTAGTTTCTTTACCTAAAAAGCTTGGATTTTGGTTGAAATAACTTGTTCAATCTCTTTTTCAGCCCTCACTGAGGATGACCAAGACAGCCAGTCACCACTGAAGAACCCTCTGCTGTCCACGTCCAGACCCCTGGTTTTTGGGAAACCAAATGGCACGTACCTTTCACTGTCAGGAGCCAGGACAGTGGCTCTCATTCCCCCCCCAGCCCCCGAGAATCAGCAAAGCGCCCTGCTTCCCAAGGCCAGCAAGGCCCCCAGCACACCCCCCTCCTGTATATCTACTTTTACTGGAACTACTTAAACTACATATTGTTTCCTTTGTCTCAGATGATGCCTCTGATTATCAGAAACAGCTAAAACAGATGATTAAGGATTTAGCCAAAGAAAAAGCTAAATCTGAGACTGAGTTGCCCCAAATGAGCCAGGTATGGACTGTATTGTGTGAAGAATTAACTTTTGTCAATCTGTTCAGAAGCTAATAATTAAGCTGGGCCCCTTTACCACCAAAGCCATAATCAAAGGGTTTTATACTTCCGGGAGGTGGACATTGTGGCAATTAAATGGGAAAATGTGGTCCATTTATATATTCAAAGGTCTTAAAAACAGGCACTGCTTCATCTCTTTTTTAAATATTTTAATTGAATTCAGAGGATAGAAACATCAATGAGGGAATCACGGACCAGCTGCTTCCTGCACACCCCTTATTAAAGGCATGTGCCATTGACCATTATTAAACCCAGGACACTTCAGCCCACAAGCTGAGGCTCTACCCACTGAGCCAAACCAGCTAAGGCTGGTTCATGTCTTTAAAAGGTTCTTCTATCACCCATTTACCCAGGTGGTGGTGAGTCATTGTCTTCCCTGGAAAATTAGTATGCTCCAGGTGCTTCAACACCTACAGCAGACAGCACTGTCAGATCTCCAAAACCTTTGTTCCTGTGCCACGTTCCAGCACTGTGGGTTGAAAGGTGTGCACAGGCTTCTGAGTGCTGAAATTCTCTGGAGGCAAAGGGCAGAGAATGCTTTCTCCTATTTTACTTCAAAAAGGTTTTATTTCACTTTCTCTGAGTACTACAAAGTATAAAATTCTTTTAAGAATGCATTATATTTCCATCCTGGTTGTGCTGCTACGCACTTTTTCTGTATTGCAGAGAGAATTCATCCAGTTCTGTAAGACTCTGTACAGCATGTTCCACGAAGACCCCGAGGAGAACGACCTGTACCAAGCCATCGCCACGGTGACCACGCTGCTGCTGCAGATCGGGGAGGTGGGGCAGCGCGGGAGCTCCGGGAGCTGCTCCCCGGACAGCGGGGCGGGGCCAGGGGCCTCAGCCCCTCCTCCAGAGCGGGACTCTGTGTTTGCCGACACAGACACTGCGCCAGACACTGCGCCGGCTCCGCGGGCATTTCCCCAGGAGGCTGAAGGCGACTGGACAGTCTCCTTTGAACACATTTTAGCTTCACTTCTGACTGAACAGTCATTAGTAAACTTTTTTGAAAAGCCACTAGATGTTAAATCCAAACTTGAAAATGCCAAGGTCAATCAGTATAGCCTCAGAACTTCTGAGATGAACAGCCAGTTACTGCCTGAACTTCAGCCAGACAGTGACTTGGTGGGATGAGCTGGCCATGACAGAGCAGCACCACCATGTGGGCTGTCAGCCCATGAGCCCAGCTCCGAGTCCTTCAGCCTGAGGACAGCCTACAGTCTGGGCGTGCAGGTGAGCAACCTGACCGCCAACTGTGGCCCGGAGAACTAATGCAATCCTCAGCACCACTGTGTTCTTCTGTAAGAGGGAGCGACACTGCTGCCGGCTGCCTCCCATACACACGGTGGCCGGGGATGGGACCTGCGACCTAGGCCGTGTGCCCGGATTGGGAATCAAACCTGCAACCCACCGAGCGGCGCGGCCACGCCAGGCTGTCTGACCGTAAGATTCACTGCTGCTGCGATGCTCTCTGACAGGACGCGGGTCCAATGCACTGAGCTACCCCAGACAGAAACGCCCACGCTTTTTCCACTATGTAGTGGGACGTCTACAGTCAAACTCACTTTTCAGATCTAAGAGCCACTGTCTGCAATTGCATTTGGCTTTTTCTTTGCACAAATGTTTCAATGCTGGTAATTGAAACCATTTAATATATTTGGTTGTATTCCCTTTGCTTACAAAAATGTTGTGTACAAACCATGCTATTAATGTTGGCCTCCAAGTTTTTTAATAAATTTTTGTATCAACTTTGCTCCTTGCTTATACCTCGCACTTGTATGAGTTTTGAGGTCTGGGTCGCGCAGTGAACAGAGGCTAGAGACAGGCAGACGGCGCACCCCTCCTGCCGCCCACGCCTGGTGGTCCAAGCCGTGCACCAGTCGGTCTGTAACCCTTGCAGTGCTACACACAGTACTGCAGTATCATCCCTGCAACACTGCTCTCAGCCGAATTCAGATTTGGGGCTGGATGAGCTTTAGCCCATGTAAACTGGAACTAAAAACATCTCCTGGGGCCGTTACAAGTGAGCAAAAACATTAATTGAACATTAAACATAAACCTGACCCCATCAGAATATCATTCTAGAAGATAATTCTGTACTTCTTGACAATTATATCTTATCAATACACATTATTATACCTAAGAGGCTATGAATTGCATCATTTCAGTTTGTTGAAAATTGGCCAATGGGAATTGAGTTCTTCTACATGCCAGTTTCTGGGAAAATGTTTCTTTTAGAATCAATGAAGCATGCCCATAAAAGCACTAACCATTGCACCTCCAATGTCCAACTACCTGCAGGGTCCGAAAGCCAGGCTACACGGCAGATTACCTAGAAAACCCTGTGTAGGCCTGTCTGAACACTCGGAAACTCCAGGGCTGGGAAAGGGGCAGAGACAGCATTAAAGAAACTATACAAAGACCAGGTCACTGAGGACCACTTTAAGATTACAAACGTTACGTTGCCGTCAGAAACAGAAAACCAACCTCCAAGGCAGTTGTATAACTTTATTCGACCATGAGCACTAGTTCTCGTCCACATTAACGGTCTGTAGATCTGCAAAAGGAGAGAAGAGGTCACCTTCCACCCCCCAGGCTTCCCCACGGGCAGCGTGGTGGCGTGGCGCGAGACTTACTTTTGAAAGTGGTGACAGGCACATAGGTGACCAACGTATACAGCTTGTTTGGTGAATCTTCATCCTCATTACGTTTTCTAGACAAACGTACCCGGATACGATATGGGACATTCCTAATGAGAAACATGTTGGTCAGGTCAACGCTGTCATGACATTTCTGTAACATGCTTCCAATCTGACAGGGAGCCGCAGGACACCGGACCAATGCAGAATGAGCCAGCCTGCCAGGTCCTCGGCCACCAGCAGACGGCGCGGTGATGGGCTTTGTCTAAAACGTAAATCTGGCCAAAACCGGTTTGGCTCAGTGGTAGAGCATGGTCTGCGGACTGGAAGGTCCCAGGTTCGATTCCGGTCGGGGGCATATACATTGGTTGCGGGCACATCCCCACGGGGGAGAGTGCAGGAGGCAGCTGGTCCATGATTCTCTCATCGACATTTCTGACTGACTATCCCTCTCCCTTCCTCTCTGTAAAAAATCAATAATATATTAAAAAATAATAATAATAAAACGTAAATCTGGAGACCATTCCCCCCCCCCCCCCCCCCCCCCCTCTACAGACACAGGAGGGTTGCAAATGTGCATTGCTTGCTCGGGCATGCAGTCCCTCCTCTCACTGTTCTGGGGATGTGAGGGTCCTCAAACCTGGGACTCTCTTGCTGCTAAGATACCACTCCGCACTTATCTCAAAGGAGCTGTCATTGGCAGCTCCTGTTACCCTGTTTCCATGAAAGTAAGTGTCTTATATTAATTTTTTCTCCCAAAGTTGCACTAGGTCTTATTTTCAGGGGATGTATTTTTTTTTTTTTCCCAAGGGATTGCATTGAATCTTTAGATTGTTTTGGGTAGTATAGACATTTTTTTAATATATTTTATTGATTTTGTACAGAGAGGAAGGGAGATAGTTAGAAACATCGATGAGAGTCATCGATCAGCTGCCTCTTGCACACCCCCTACTGGGGATATGCCCGCAACCAGGGCACATGCCCTTGACCGGAATCGAACCCGGGACCCTTTAGTCCCCAAGCCGACGCTCTATCCATTGAGCCAAACCGGTCTCGGCTTCAGGGGATGTCTTTCCATGCGCTAGGTCTTATTTTTGGGGAAACACGGGTAGACACATTTCTGCTGAACTATCAATATTAACTGCGCCCCCTGCAGGCTGCTCTCAGGGGTTGTCACCCACTCAAACGCAACCCAGATGCCACCCAGTCCTCCACCAGCTCCTACCACGGACCAGCCCCTGCTACTTCACTGACCTTAGCTGGTCCCATCCCACACTGGCACCTCCATCGTCCTTCACAGCGAAACGTCCTCCTGCTTATAAGGGGTCTCTAAGCTCTCCTTCCGTGGGGGCTGGGTGACTCTGTTGTGGAGGCTGCCGTGTGCATTTTAGGATGTTTCCGGAACCCTTGGCCTATGGCAGCCCCACCAGTGATACCAACTATGTGCCGGGACGGGGAGGAAAGTCGCCTCTGGTTGAAGACCAGGGCTGCAGTGGGTTCTAGAGACAAAGCCACTCTTTGCCATGACCCACAAGACTCCCCTGATCCGCCTCCTGCCCGTCTGACTTCTACCTCCATCAGCCTGTTCCCAGATCACACTCTGTGCGATGCTGACCACCCGCACTGCTGCCCACGGGTCTCATCACAAACGCCACATCCTGAGGCTTCTCTGCAGTCACCACCCTCCTGAATCGCTGCCGCGCTCTTTCTTTGTAATTCCACTAGAGGCCCAGCCACGAAATCTGAGCTTGGCCTGTGACCATGGCCATCTTCCCCAGCTGCCTGGAGCCGGCCCCACGCCTCTCCGATGGCCACTGGGAGCTGAGCCTGCTGGCCGGGAGAAAGCAGGAGGTGGGCTGTTCCTGCCTGCTGGCCAGCCCTGCCCTGTGCAGGGCGCCCTGGCGCCGCCCACCCCCACCCCGGTTCCCTCCCGCCACCAGGTAATGGGAGCCTGCGCCGGGAAAAGGGACTGAGGTGGTCAGTGCGCCTCAGTGACTGGTCAGGCAGTCGTTCAGCCGTTAGGGTCAATTTGCGTACGACCCTTTCACCACGTTGGATATGATCAGCGATCTGAGCGGAGGAGTGGGTTAAGCTGGTGAGACACACCTTACTCCTTTGGCCCACACGGCTTTGTTGAGCCTGGTGTCAATGCGCACGTCGGGGGTTCCCATCTCCTTCATGGCGAACTTCCGGATCTCCTTGAGGGCCCGGGGGGCACGCTTCTTGAAGCCCCTTAGGTTAAAACACAAGTAAAAAGTGAATTAAAGGGGCACAAAATGAAACCGCATGTCCTAGCTTCATAAAAACTAAACCAAACTTTTGCCGTGGCCGGTTTAGCTCAGTGGTAGAGCATGGTCTGCGGACTGAAGGGTTCCGGGTTCGATTCCGGTCAAGGGCATGTACCTTGGTTGCAGGCACATCCCCAGTGGGAGGTGTGCAGGAGGCAGCTGATCGATGACTTATCGATGTTTCTAACTTTCTCCCTTCCTCTCTGTAAAAAATCAATTAAAAAACAAAAAACAAAAAAACTAAACCAAACTTTAACAAGGCAGATCCTTTCCCACCAGCGTTCATGCCCAGCAGCTGGGGAACAGGAACTGCCCCCTCAGTGACGGGGTGAGGGCTCTGCACGGGACCGGACAATGCTAACATCACAATGGCCAGCCCGTTCCCGATCAGCAAAAGCACCTCCAGACTCCATCCTTCTGGAGACTATGATCCAAGAATGCCACTGGAACATACCTGAACATAAAACGTAACACTGTACACCGCAGGACATGGTAAGCAGATTGCCACACCTTCACAGAGCATGTTTTTGGAGCCCACTCAGCACGAATGTAGTTCCCCTGACCTGGTCTGTGCCGAGCAGAGGCCTGCAGGGGAGGTGCCAGCACCATCATCATCTCCTGGGCACCTTCAGGTGCTGTTTAGATAAGGATGCAGGCACCCATTTAAATGTTATGCTTTTACTTGAAGATGTGAAAAAAGCAACACTTTACGACAGGAAGAAGTGGTCACACACGTGTGGGCCATTCCAAGTGGGGTGCAGAGGGAACAGTAAGAGTTGCTGATGTTTCTGTCTCTCCCCCTGGCCCTCTGAAATAATAACATTTCGTGATCCTCAGAGGGGCCTGTCAATGGCTAGCCTGAGAGGCGCTCCTTCCCGGCAGATGAGGCAAACGTCCTGGATGGGGTGAGAGCAGCAAACGGAGCCTTCAATAAGCTCCGTGACCCACAAAAAACCCGGCTCCCCACTCACCCCACAGCCGCTTGACCCTGTCTCCGCTCCTTCCTCCATGCTCACCAGCTCCTGGTTATTTATTTCTACAAGCAAGCTCGCCCCACCCCCTTACAAACCTAACCACCAGAACCATCAGCGAGGGGCAGAATCCTTCTCCACATCATGTACGTGGTTGACCCTCCAGTGCACCAGCTGATGTCAAGTGTGACAGGGAAGTAGATGAGGGAAAGGCAGAGCGCTGGGATGAGCTGGGGCGACACAAGCCAGCCCCCCAACCTGTGACCAGGAAAGTAAGTGGCAGTGCACAGGGAACCACAGCAAACACTTTGGACTCCACTGAGGCCGATGGGAGCCAATGGAGGTGAGGACACACCAGGGCAGCGAAGGGAACCAGGAGAGGGCGCTGCAAACCAACGGACAGCGGACTGGCCGGACCCAGGCCCTGGGTCAGGGGGAGGGAGAGCACAGAGGGCATGTGCCTTCGCCAGGGAAACAGGGAGGGCCGGGCAATGGCGTCTGCGATGTCAACACCCACGTACAGACTGAGGGACTGTCCTGGGACTCAACAATGACTGAGGAGCAGCTAGAGAAGGAAAGGGTTTAGTACCACTTTTGTAACAAAGCACAAAATGCCTGAAAAACTCGCTCACCTGCAATGGCCACCTTACTTTTCAAATGTCCCACTACGGGGGTGGCCTGCAGAGCAAAGCCCTTCTCACTCTGCACATTTCACCATTTACACCCAAATATTAGTGTCTAGCCTCTGTAAGGGACTGCGAAAGTGGGCCTTTGGATCCCCTGCTAAACCTGCAAGGGCCGCTGGCAGTGCCCAGCACACAAGAGCCTGGCAGGAATAAAGCTCAAAATGAGTGAAGGGGTGGTGGGCCGGGCCCGCGGTTACTCAGAAGCAACATCAATGCACAAGAAGGCAGGGAAGCCATCTAGAGACCCGGAACAGAGGCCAGGGTGCCCCTAGGCTGGGAGTGCAGTGCTGACAGCTGCCCTGTGCCCACGAGGCCGCACATCTGAGAGAGACCCTGGAAAAATGCGTTCTCCCAGCGAGGCTGCCCAGACAAGTGCAAGAAATCCTGCGCCACAGGCTGGTGCCCGAGTCCTCTGTCTGCCCTGTAACTGCTTTTAGATCCACTCCGGAACAGCATGCAAGATGCAAGCCTGCTCTCTACTGCCAGCGGTAAGCAGGAGGCGGGAAACCTCCTAATCTGAGAACTAAAACCAACCCCCAGGGGATAAAGTCAAACATTAAAAACTGCTCCCGACATTCCACTACACGGCCAGTCCACAATGCAGGAGTCCTCCCGCCGACACGGTCCTGCAGGTTCCTCCCCTCACCTCGTGCAATTCCCGTCCGTGTGCGGGCCAGAACCAGCACGGCGCGGCCCAGGGTCCCTGCTCCGGACGCACGCGCCCGGCCGGCCCAGGTCCCCGAGCCCGAGGCTCTAAACAGCTCCCTCTCTCGCACCGCACCGCTCTCCGAAGGCGCCCGCAGGACCCGTCCTCAACCTCGCGTCCCCGCCGTCCCTCCAGCGGGACACCCTAACCCTCTCGGGCCCTGGAGCAGACGGAGTTTTAAAGAAAAGCTCCGGACCAGCCGGCCTTCCCGCCGCGGGGGGACTCACACGCCGTGGATGCGCTTGTGGATGTTGATGGTGTACTCCCTGGTCACCACCTCGTTGATGGCGGAGCGGCCCTTCTTCTTCTCGCCACCCTTCTTTGCGGGAGCCATCTACAGCGGGGACAGGGAAGCTGAGCCGAGGACGCGCACGGCCACGTCCGCCCGCCCCGCGCGCCCGAAGCCCCAGGCCGGGCAGAGCTGAGCCTCCACCCAACCGCGCCCCGGCCCGAGAGCCCGCGCCGGCCCTAGGCCCCCTCTTCCAGGCTGCGAGCCCTCCCGCCGGGCGGGGTCCCCTCCGGGACTCCGATGCCCGGGCCCAGCCTAGGAGAGCCCGCCGGCCCGGGCGGCGCCTCCGTGGGTGAGGATGGAGCCCGATGGAGGAGACCAAGGAGCGAACGAACGCACCGTGCCCAGCAAGTTGGAAAGAAAGACCGCAGGGTATTGTGGGAGAGGAAACTCCGGGTCGCAAGTACAACTTCCGGGTCGTCGGGAGGAGGCGCAGCCAGAGGCGGGGCAGTGACGTCTGTGCGTGCCGGGCAAAGAGAGCCGGCCTGGGCGGCTTCCGGGCGGGCGCATCCGGTGGTGGTGCCGCGGGTGCCGTCCCGGAGGAGGTGTTGGTAGCGGACCTGGCTTCCTGACGAGGATGCGGCAAGGAAAGGCTGCCGCACCTGCCTGGGCCCCGAGGCGGGCAGGCTCGGGAGGCGCTCTCCTGTGCACCGTCCTCCTGGCCACGTGCGGGCTGCGGCCCGCCGAGGGGCTGCGGGGCCCTCAGACGCTCAGCGGATGGGCTACGGAGTGGGGTAGGGCTGAGGGCACAGCAGAACGGGCGTGAACGGAGCCAGGACCTGGGCAGCTACTGGTCACCGGGGCGGGAAAGCTCAGGTCCTGGGAATCAGCAATCAATTGTAGGGGACCCCCCCTCGCCCACCTTCCTCCCCAGCAGGTCCTGTGGTTTGACCCCTGACCTTCCTCCCAGAGGTAACATCTGGGCCTCAGTTGTAGTTCAGCTCCAGGCCCAGAAGAGCAGCAAAACCAGACAAGTGATCCCTGCCCTGGTGTTGACCCTGCCCTGGTGCTGACCCTGCCCTGGTGCTGACCCTGCCCTGGTGTTGACCCTGCCCTGGTGCTGACCCTGCCCAGGTGCTGACCCTGCCCTGGTGCTGACCCTGCCCTGTGCTGACCCTGCCCTGGTGCTGACCCTGCCCTGGTGCTGACCCTGCCCTGGTGCTGACCCCTGCCCTGGTGCTGACCATGGTGGAGACCGTGACCCTGAAAGGACACACCAGGAAAGCTGCGGACTGTCCTACTGAGATCTTCCCTGGGACCTCCCCAAAGTCTGCCCCCTAAAGCCCTTAGGACACAGCGCCTCCCTCCAGGGAGCAGGACCCTGACTCTTCCTCTACCTCCCTCCGCTGTCCCCAAGGCGAGCTCCCATGTCCTCCTCACTCCCCAGCCCCCAGGGCCCTTTTTTCCCTCCACAGCTTATTTCCTGAGCCCATTTCCTTTAGGAATTGCTTCTATCGCCGATTTTCCAAATAAATGTTTTCCTACAGTCACAGTCTTGGCTCTGAATTCTCTCCCAGCCAGAAACGGAAACCAAGCTTGCTGAGCCCAGGTCCGGTGTGACACCACAGGTCAGACACTGGTACCCTCTCACCAGCTATAACACTGTTGTCCTGGACTGTGGGGACAAGGAGGGTTGTGCCCAGCCTGATGCTTGAATGTGAACAAAAAGGGGGGACCTGGTAGACCAACTAGCTCAGGGCCACTGCCGGAGGGCTGGCCAAGAAGGCCTAGGCGGGCATGGCTTCCTTAGCGAGCACAGCCTGACATGGCAGTGCCCTAGCCCTAGTTGTCTGGCATCCAGGGTAGCATAATGCTAAAATGTTAGAACTTTCCAGACCCTCCCAGGCAGCTGCTGTGACAGACTACACCAGCACAAAACCAAACCACAGCTTACACCCATCACTATGTCATGAGAGATGTTAGCTACCCTTCATACCTCCCAGTCTATTCAGACAACCCTGTAAGCCACCAGTTGAGGGGAAATGGCTTTATGGGGGGCTTTCCTGCCGTGGGGCAGACCCAGGCAGTTTTGGCTAAGGGCCCGGACTCCAGGCGTTGCCTCTCGGAGCTCCCCCCGGGGAGACTCAGCTGGACCGGTCCAACTTCTTCCTAGAGACCGGACCCGGGCAGTCAGAGTGGGCCCAGAGTTGAGGGTGAGTACGGAGGGCGCTGTGTGCCCATGGGATGAAGATGACCAAGGAGAGCCAGATGTCTGTCAGATTTCCACTAAGAGTGTGCAGCTGTTCCTCATTCATTCATTCATTCATTCATTCATCTATCTGAATCCTCTGGCAGGGTATATTTCCATTGATTCTCGGGGCTTGTGGAAAAGGCCCCGGAGAGGCAGAGAGAAACATGGATGTGAGGGAGACACTTGGATTGGTTGCCTCACGCAGGCGCCCTGAGGGGGCAGGGAGGGATCCAGCCTGCAAGGGCGGTAAGTGCCCTGGACCCCAATGGAAGCCGCGACCCTTCCCTCCACAGGCCTGCGCTCTGTCCACTGCGCCAAAAGCGCTGGAGCCCGTTCAGCCCCTGTCAGTGTGTCAGACTCATCCCTGTGGCTCCCCACCCCACCCCACCCCACCCCCCAGTCTCCAGGAGCGCCGGGGGCTTCCAGCTGTGCGGGAGAATGCGGCACAGGCGAGCCTGCGATGGCGGGGTGCTGCGGCGTGGAAGGCTCGCGAGCGAGCGAGCGAGCGCGAGCGCCCTTTTCCTAACTTTGGAGGGCGGAGCGGGCGCGGGGTGTGTGTGTGTGTGTGTGTGTGTGTGTGTGTGTGTACGTGTGAGTGTGCGCGAGCGCGTGCGCGCGCCCAGTCCCGGGGCGGGGGGCTGAGTTCCGAAGCGAGGTTCCCCCGACCCAGCCACGCAGGCCGCCAAAGGGAGGCTGGGGCTGGCTGCAAAAGTGCGGCCGCTCCTCCGAGCCAAAGCAAAAGCCACAGCAAAAGCCTACAGCACCCGGTATTCCCAGGCGGTCTCCCATCCAAGTACTAACCAGGCCCGACCCTGCTTAGCTTCCGAGATCAGACGAGATCGGGCGCGTTCAGGGTGGTATGGCCGTAGACGCGGGAGCCGGCCTCCGGGAGCCTCAAGAGCCCGCGCCGGGGGCCACCCCCGCCCCCTCCTCCCCCAGGCTGGCCTGGGGCTCAGCTCCCTCAGCGCCCTCAGCGCCCTCTCGCAGGGACCACATCTCTCCCTGCTGAGCCCTCAGCTGCCACCCGCCCGCCCGCCCGCCTCCCTTCTGACCTTCAGGGAGAGGCGAGGTGGCAGAGGGCAGCGCCCGCCCGCCCGCCCGCCCAGCGCCCTCCGCCGGTGGGGGTGCGATGTGCCGGGTCGCCGGCAGGGGGTGCCCTCCAGGACCGGGCTCCCCTAGGGATTCCTCCTGCTCTTCACATCCCCAGGGCAGCCTCTGCTTGTGGGGAAGCCAATCAGTGGGGAAAGGCTTAGTGGTGGCCAAAACATGGGCACGTGCCAAGGCAGGGGCCAGGGCCGGTGCCGGCGGAGGCCGCCCACCGCGGAGGCCCAGGGCAAGCCCGAGGCCTGATGCCACATGTCCCGGGTGACCGCGGAAGGTCAGGTGGCTCGGACCGGCGCTCACACCTCTCCGTTGCCTTCGTTTCTCCCTCGGACCTATGGACCTACGAAGGGTACGGGTGGACACTTCTCAAGGGGGCCCAGAGCGCTGGGACTCGGCCAGGATCACGGTGGGTGCTGAGAGCCGGGCCTGCCTGTTTGAAGTGGCCGTTCAGGCCGCAGCCCAGCCCGTCTTGGACTTTGGCCGCCTCCCTTTGGTCTGCATCCCATCCGGCACACGTCCCACCGCCCGCAGGGCTGGCGGCTTGTCTTGTCAGTCAGAGACGCCTGCCCAGGTCTCCAGAAAATGGTTTCTCGCACCCTCCCTCCCTCGTGTGTCCGTAGGGTCCCCGGGAAGGCCCGGGAGGACACAATGGCTTTGCCAGGACACTCAGCCCATCAGGCAGGCACAGGTCCAACTCTGCTCTCCTGAATGTTGGGACCCTGGCGGCGAGGACGGGGAGCAGTCCCGTGTCGTCGTCGTCGTCGTCATCGGGGAAAGCCGAGTTGGAAAAGTTGGAGCGTTTGTGGGGGTGCTGGGGCGGGGTGTGCGTGTGTGTGTGGGTGTGTGTAGGGTGTGTGTGTGTGTGTGTGTGTGTGTGTGTAGGGGGGGAGGCCCCGTGGGGTCCAAAGTCCTGAGGGGTCTGCAGGTAAGCCTGCTTAAAGGAAAGCATACAGGCCTCGGCACCTTGCACACTTGATGTCACTTGCTCAGTCACAGGGCAGTACGGAATCTAGAACTCTGGTCACCGGGCAGCCGCGTTCCGGACACAGGCCCCTCTCCCCTCACTTGGCCGCAGACCTGGGAGACAGCAGGGCGTCCTCCTCTGGTCCTCGGGTGGTGTCAGGGGGTGTCTGTGGAAGAGCTCACCACAAAAGCTGTCTCGCTCACCGCACACAGTGGCTCTGGTCTCCCCTCTGACGCCTGCTGTCACTCAGCAGTGAGTAGCCTCAGGTAACCTATGCCAGCCTGGCGCCGGCCAATCCCAGGGAGGCCGCAGCCCGGAGCACTTGGGGGCATCCTATCCGTCCTTGCCACTGTGTGCGTGTGCGTGTGCGTGTGCGTGTGTGTGTGTTTGCGTGGGGGTGTGCCTGTGGCAGTGTGTGCTGGAGTGGAAGAGACTGCAGGAGGGCTGGTTTGCTAGGGGAGGTCCTGGTGGGCACAAGGGGCGTCCCCGGGTCATTTCATTCCTTCGTGGCTGCAAGTCTATTCAGACAACCCTGTGCGCCACCAGTTGAGGGGAAATGGCTTTATGGGGGGCTTTCCTGCCGTGGGGCAGACCCAGGCAGTGTTGGCTAAGGGCCCGGACTCCAGGCGTTGCCTCTCAGAGCTCCCCCCGGGGAGACTCAGCTGGACCAGTCCAACTTCTTCCTAGAGACCGGACCCGGGCAGTCAGAGTGGGCCCAGAGTTGAGGGTGGGTACGGAGGGCGCTGTGTGCCCATGGGATGAAGATGACCAAGGAGAGCCAGATGTCTGTCAGATTTCCACTAAGAGTGTGCAGCTGTTCCTCATTCATTCATTCATTCATTCATTCATCTATCTGAATCCTCTGGCAGGGTATATTTCCATTGATTCTCGGGGCTTGTGGAAAAGGCCCCAGAGAGGCATAGAGAAACATGGATGTGAGGAAGACACTTGGATTGGTTGCCTCACGCAGGCGCCCTGAGGGGGCAGGGAGGGATCCAGCCTGCAAGGGCGGTAAGTGCCCTGGACCCCAATGGAAGCCGCGACCCTTCCCTCCACAGGCCTGCGCTCTGTCCACTGCGCCAAAAGCGCTGGAGCCCGTTCAGCCCCTGTCAGTGTGTCAGACTCATCCCTGTGGCTCCCCACCCCACCCCACCCCACCCCCCAGTCTCCAGGAGCGCCGGGGGCTTCCAGCTGTGCGGGAGAA